AAAATAAAACAAATTGAATTTTAAAAGAATGACTAAGTTCTTCATGGCTCTTAAGATCACAGAAGCATTGTCTGATAATTATCTGAGTAATTCTTAAAACCTTTTCTCTCTCAGCCAAAGAAACTAATATAATATACTGTATAAAACTGTGTCCTGACACCAGTTTTAGAATTGGCATTGTTTTACTCTCTTACAGTGCCATCTGTGATGAGATTTCTACTGTATGTTGATGAGGAAACTGACAAGAGCATCCCCCACAGAAGTCCAGGACTCTGCCACCTAAACCAGGCTCTGGTGAAGGGAAAAAACAAGAACCAACTAACCAAACTAACAAAGAAAAAACCCCCAGAAAACCCTAAAATGGTGTGGACCTCTTAAAAGCTTCAGGTTGGTTATTAGAGAAGAACAATTCTAGAACCTCATGGAAAACACTGACCAAGGGAAATCCCATGTTGGGAACTGGCAATACTACACTTATTTGTCTTTAATTAGCTGCCTAGACCTTGCAACACCTTTTATTGGAGAAACACTGAAAATGGTCACTGGGTTCCCAAACTAATCCAAACCAAAAACAAAACCTACTTTTGACAATAACAAATAAAAATGTGTACATTAACTGTGATAAATAAAAATAAAATGAATGTAAATATACTGCACAGTGTTTAAGACACAAGCTTCTTTGGGGCCTAGCAATCTCTGGAACAGACCTGCTGCTCTTAGCCTAGCTTATTCGAGTTGAATTAAAGGTCCCCTCCCACAAGCCCCCAGTTTCAGCAAATCAGATGATTCACTGGCCCTTCAGCACACTGCCAGTTTCCAAGTACTCTCCCAAAGTATCCACAGCAGCTTCACATGATTGAACATATTCTAAAACAGCTTGAATATGCTTGTCACAATTAAGACTGTCGTACAGGTAGAAGGAGAGATGAGAAGAGTAGAGGACTTTTCTAACCTTCCCTAGGCCCAGCTAGGCCTAGCTGACAGATCACACTGACCTCAGACCATGGCCTTGACCCTCTAGACTTGTAAGCTGCAGGAAGACAATTAATGATCGAGTGTTCTCATTCTCTCCCCAGAGCCCAGTACTGTGCCTGCATATGGCAAGTCATGTGGACAGAATAAATGATTATTTAAGCCTGGCCTCCAAACTTCACCATCATTCCTCCTCCTCTACCAATCTTCTCCCTCTTCCTTCTGCCCCTTCCAAAGTGAATGTAAGGACCCAGCAAGGCTGGTCTTTCATACTCTAACTTAAACTCCCAAGTAGACACAAATTTTTCATCAAAATGTTGGATACTATATCTGCAAATGGAGAGCAATGTCAACCTCCCACACATACACATGCATGTGCATACATACACCATGAACAATGGCTGTTTAAAAACAGGGATTCAAAAAGAAATACAGTGATTCAGGAGACATTTGGTCTTACTGCAGGAAGGCTGGTTATTAACTATCCAGATGTTTTTATGCCAAATGTCAGTTACACAAAAGGTTACTAATAAGCATTTATTAAAATAATGAATGAACAATGGGTGATGTAGATAATTTAGGTTGTTACAGATTGGGGGATATTTAGGCTCATCACTTTACATCTCTTGATTAGATATTCACTTTGAGTCTAGGATACCAGTCCTAATAATTTTAATATACTTCTAAGTAAAAGAATAGAAAAAAATAAACACAATGACATCAGAGTAACTACCTACTCTCATACCACCAACTGGTGCAAAGTCCCACATCACTCTATACTTTCTTATGTAATATAAACCAAGATTAATTTACTTGTTTAAAATATTTAAAAAGATAATAGTATATGGAAATAAAAACATTTTTATTGTTTTTCTAAAAGTACAACTCTTTCAAAGTTTCCATTCAATGTACAAAGTGTCAATGGTACAGTAAAAGGGACATTTTCTGTGTTGATACACTATGGACCACATGCTGTATTTGCTAGATATGTGCTGCTGAAAAGCCCAGTTTTTACAGATTGCTTTATAGATTGCTTTGGACATGTTTTATTAAATAGCACCATTTGATAAAATAGCTCAAAATATTATTTTTGCAGAAACTGTCCTAAGACAAAAATCTCTTGGGTCATCAAATATGTTCTACAGATCTGTATTATTTCTATTATAACAGTACCAAGTAGATACAGCTTATTTACACTTAGGTAGAAACATCAGTGGTGAAAAAGACTTGGTGAAGTAATAGAACAGAAAGACAGAAGCATATAACCAGTCCTGAGGATGAAAGCTCTCATGGCACAGGGCTCCCTCACTTCTCTCCCTGAATAATCTGGGTCCTTTCACAACAGTCACCACTATTTCTCAAGACCATCTTTCTCTCCACCCATTTTTATTGCCCCCCTTCCCAAACTTCTGACTCATCGACTTTTTCTTCAGCCTCATCTAATATGCTTGAAACTCCTTCGCCCAGATTTTCATGAAATTACAGTGAGAAGATATCCTCTTGGAATTGGATCAGTGCTAATGAGTCAAAGAAAAGATATCTGGAAAGCATGGAAGGGAGGAGATGAGGCCGTGAAAAGAAATGGAACACCATAGGCTTCATGCTTGTTCTACCTGAATCTGAAAAATACTCCTCCTTACACAGCAGCAAGGCAGAACAGGCTGCATCCCACTAAGCCTCTAAGGTAGTTAAGACATACCATCTATCTACACTAGGTAGCTGATTACAGAAAGTAAGGAAGCAGTCTCAGGTTTCGTAAGTGGATAGCCAAAGGAATGGGTGAATACCTTTCCTCTGACCTGCTAGTTGGAGATCACTTGGTCCCAGTGGCTACTTTGACTTCTCAGTCTCAGCAACAATATTATTTTATGTCTTCATAAGCAAGTAGCAAACTTTCACATAAGGCAACTGCAAAATTTCCCTATTTCATTCATGATGTTTTTACACAAACATCATTAGGAAGGAATTAACAACCATACAAAGGTATATTTTATCTTTGCTCTCAATTCTCTCCGGGACTCAAGAGGTGGGAAGGAAATGACAGACAGGAATGAGAACTCCTGGGTGTGGCTCTGGCTATATGGAGATTGGAGGACCTTGACAATGTGTGAACTCTAAAGTATGCAAAGTGCAATTACCTGCCAGAGAGCTTCTCTGATGTTTGGCTCTGCACAATTGTGTAATGGCAAACCCTGATGCAATGTTTAAATAACCAAAATCACTTCAGAGATGAAGGGAAATATATATATTACATATATAAATGCATATATATATGCATTTACCAGGAAATATATATATTGCACATATAAATGCATATATATATATATATATATATATATATATATATATGTGCATTTACCAGGTTATGTAGGTACAGCATAACTTCAGTGTAAACAATACACAGAAGACTTAAAAAGGAAAAACTCCATTAAAGCCTCTTTTAACCATTTTCTATTGCAATAGCTAATTAAATAGCTTACTTCTCTGTGTCAAACTTAAGAATTTATGAAAAAGAACACAATTCTCAAAAGAAGTTAAAGCCAAATCAATGTCAAAGAATCATTTGTCTCACCCAGAAATAATTATAGCAACACATTTTCTCCACAGCATATATCCCGTGCATTGTACTGTATTCATGCTGTAACTACTACCCATTTACTCTAATGAATACAAAAACAACAGGAATATGTTATAATTTCTAGAAAGGCAGAGTCACAACGTGCAAGGTTAATTTCCTCCCCTGCTGGGATGCAGGGCAATACTGCAAGGACTGAAAATATTTAAATCAAAAGATCATTTCTAATTGTTCACCCTGGCTGGCATAGCTCAGTGGATTGAGCGCGGGCTGGGAACCAAAGTGTCCCAGGTTCGATTCCCAGCCAGGGTACATTCCTGGGTTGCAGGCCATAACCCCCAGCAACCGCACATTGATGTTTCTCTCTCTCTCTCTCTCTCTCTCTCTCTCTCTCTCTCTCTCTCTCTGTCTCTCTCTCTCTGTCTCTCTCTCTCCCCCTTCCCTCCCTAAAATAAATAAATAAATAAAATCTTAAAAAAAAAAGATCATTTCTAAAATCCTGTTAACCTAATTTTTATTTCAAAACTTTTAAATGGCCTAAAACCAAAAGCAACTGAAACAACTGGATAAAATAAATGGGTAAATGTGAAAATAACATCACAATAGCTTATGCTATAAAAGCAGAAGGGACCATGTGTAAATCAACCATGGGACAATACTGTCGAATAAACTCTAACAACTATAAGAAAAAGTTTGTTGATTTAAGAAAACTGTATATGTATGTAAGCTTCTAGGACAACCTCTAGGTGCTGCTGTAGAGACCCCTTTCGTAAAGACCTTTCTTTCCCAGTGGTTTTTTGTTGTTGTTGTTTTTTGCCTCCCCCTCCCCCTGACTGCACTGCACTGCGCCAAGCCATTACAATCACTTCAAACATAACTGCTGTCAAAGAGCCTCACAAACTAACATTCTTCAAGGCTCAAGGAACCAAACAACGGCTTTTTGCTTTTATTTCCAAATTATGTTATAGGAGCTAGCCAAAATACCAGCAGGTTAGCAGGTTGTGTCAAAGCAGCCAGGAGGCCGAAGAAGCAAAAAAGACAGCCAACACTGAAGTTCACCGCCCCGACACCTGCCCGAGCCATCTCTCCACACGCAATATAACTAAATGTTAAAACCAATCCTGTGCATAATTTAGAACTGTCATATGAGATCTGGAGATGTGGGAACATAGGGGTGGGAGGTTCCTGCGACGAGCTCTCAGCAGCACAGACTCCACCTGCTATGTCAGCTCCTGCATCTGAGAAACCGATGAGAGATGGTGGAAGCTCAGGGAAAACCGAGCGAGCGTGGGGGGGCGGGGGCAGTGAGGCCGTAACGTTCGGAGCTGATTAACCAGAGCCCCGTCGGGGTCCCAGCGCCCCGCACCTCCTCTGATCCACAGCCTCCCAACAGCCACAGGGGGCTGGTGTCGCCCACGGGGCCGGGCGAAGACGGGGACGCCAGCGGCTTTACCTGTGATGGACCAAGTCCAGCGGTAGAACTCCACCGTGTCATTGACCGCCGTGGACACCACATTCAGGACACTGCCCTTCTCCGAGTCCAGGAGCCCCATCGCGGCGGAGAGCAGGAGCTGGCGGCGGCCGGGAGGAGAAAGCGGAGACCCCGCGGAAGGGCAGACTTCGGAGGCAACGGCAGAAGGAGGGAGCGAGCGTCAGCTGGGATTCCCTCCAACGGCGGCGGCCCAGGTGCGTCTTCTCCTCCTGCTCCGGGCGCCGCGGTAGCGGGGATGCGGCGGAGGCAGAGGCGGCAGCTACCGGCAACTACCGGCCCGGAGGAGGAGAAGGTACCGTCTTGGCGCTCAGGAGGAAGAGGGGGAGCTCCTGTCGTGAGCGCCGAGCGCTGCACCCGTCTGCCGCCTCCTGCTGTCGCCGCTCCAATCTCCTCCGCTGGTGTCACGTGGGCGCGCACGGGGCGGTGGGGCCTGCGCGCCCCTCCTCCCGCCCGCGCGCGCGCGCGGATACTAGCGAAGGGATGCTGCGGTAGGGGGCGGCGGCAGCCCGGCCGGCGCACGCGCGCGCCGCTGCACCCGGGCCTCGGGGTCCCGGCCCCTTTCTAGGTCGCCACCTTCCCCCTTGAGGCTCCCAGGGCTTCTTCCCCACCTACCTCCCCGGCTTTGGGCCCGGCGGAGGAGTACCCGCCGTCCCACGGTGACCTTGCATCCGCCCGGGACACATCTTAGGAAACAAGACAGGGAACAATGGGCGTTTTGTGCTGAAGGATGAGGTTAGCGAGGTGCGTTTGTCCTTACCTGTCATTCACTTCGACTTTTCTTGTGTTCTCTTTCCTTCACCCTGTCAGCACTTGCTTGCCACCAGAACAAGGGAAATGCACAAGTTATCCCTCTAAATTCGTGAAGCTACAATGATGGAGAATGGATTTAGGGGTCTACCCATTAACAGATTAATAAATACAATGCAGAATCCGCGTAAGTGGATGGACTACTTGAGTTAATATGCGAATGTTCTGCTACGGGTCAGCGGCCCTAGCCCCCATCCCCGCCCTGTTTTCAAGGGTCAACTGTAATTTGAATGAATGCTTGCACGTGTTCTGTACAGCCTTTTAATATACATGGAATAATCAAAGAGATAGAATTGTGCTAAATTACGCCATTACAAGTTCAGAGAAGAGGGAGGACCAAAAGGGGCCTGCCTTATAATTAGAGAGGTCAGTTTGGACCTGAAGAAAATGAGGTGAATCTAAAAGGACAATCTAGGCAAACAAGGAAAAAGTAATTAAAAAAAAAAACACCTGTTTGGATAATAAGATAGGAGGCAACAGGGTAATCTACCCTTGAAAAGTAGCAAAAATACACCACATGAAATTAATAATTTGATAGTTTCTGATATCAAACAAGATCTTCGAGAACAGTCCAATAATCTTTTCACCTACTTGTTAGTTAAACATGTCACCTACTTTTTGTTTAACCTTTTCTCTAATTGTTAGTTTAGGGTGCTCCATTTAAAGGCCACTGAGTCAAGTGTGTGATTGCTTTTGTTGTTTTGGTTTTTTTTTTGACACTGTTAAAGTAATGCGAATATTTTCTTTCATGTTTATTTGATTTACTTTCCAGTTGACCTGGTTATATATTATTTGACTTTATTTTACATTGAAACCATCTTAGAGGGTAAGAATTATTTTCGGTTCCACATTGAGGACCTAATTCAGTGCTGTAAGTAATAATTAATATTTATGATGATATTAAAATTATAACACACTTTTTTCAGAACTGCTACAAGTGGCAAGAGCTTTAAAGTGGGAGACGACATAGTTAAAAGTAACTGATTTATTTTATCATTTAAGCAACCACCGTTTTCATTATATATTCTAATCTTGAAATTAACCAAATAAAATATAATTTATCAAATATATTTACCAGATTAAAGGTTTTGGGGTTGAAATTATAGTTTCTCAAGTCTCAGCCCCAAGTTATGTGTATCAGATTCTAGTAGCTATATAAAAAGTCCACCCAAGTCTCCACATTTGGAGAGATGGTGAAGATCAATGATGTGTTCATGTATTTTGATGATCTAGCCAAGTTCAGATTAGTTTGAACTTTATGTAGTAAATTGATTACTACTTCTATTTTGTGAAATCCTGAATGTTTTTAATGAAAAACAGATCCCACCCTCACCCTCATGCACACACACAAAACTTCAGCGTCTTGTTTAATAAATAGAAAAATTTCTAAACAAGTTCTTTTATAGTGGAAGTCAATGTAAGTCCCGCTATTCACTAGGGGGCGCCAGTCACATATAAGAAAATCCTAGACAAGTGTTGAAAAAAGTGTCAAGAATCGCACGCACATCTCCACACTCTACCTGGAAGAGTAGTATGTTTATTAGCATTGATGACATATCCAAACATAACCTAAGAACTAGAGCCCTAGAACTTACACACTCTGGAGCCTTATTACCCAGCCTAGAGACTAAGAGTACAGTATTCAATTCACATGTTGTTTAGAAATACAAAAGCCTACCTAGTCTGTTTGTGCAAATGGAAGGAATCCTGCATGTCCACTCACCTGGAGTTACAGCCATCTAACCAAGACATCATGACAGAACAAAATCAAATATAAGCATCCATAGTATCTGCAAAACTTTTGAGAACAGAGTTCTTTGTTGTGGATTAACTATAAGACAGACACAGTAATCTATAAAAACCAAAGGAGATGATACGATTGTAATAAAAAATTACTTTATGTAAAATAGAAAAAATGCTTTATAGCATATACAGAATTAACAACATAAACTATCCGTTTTTTCCTAGTGTTTTCACCTTTCTATGTTTCAATATTGTCAGCAACCTGTGCTTTTAAAGACAGAGGAACATAGGAATCTGCTGAGTTAGGTGTGAAAGGAAGTAGTCTGATATAAAAGAGCTGTAGAAAGACCGTAAATCTTACAAAGTAAAATTTGCTAAGTGGATAATATTGCAGAAAATGGAGAAAATCACTAATAATACTAACTGCTGTCTATTAGTTCCAGGGTTTTATTTTATTCCCCTTACCACTCTTCCCCAACTCCACAAGGATAAGGGAAATATGTAGAACCCATGACATAATTTATGTTCTTAACTAATCTGGAATTACAATCTTTGTCTTAAGCCATTTTACAGTGTTTATTATTTGTTATCTTGTATATAATTATTTTTATTACATCAAATGAATATATTCTTCTGATAATCATGAGTATTGAAAAAGGAACAGACAATACAATGAAATAAAAATCCCCATAATCTCAACTCTTATTCTTTTTAAAATTTTTTATTGTTATTCTGTTACAGTTGTCCCAATTTTTTCCCCTTTGCCCTCCATCACCCAGCCCACCCCCTCCTCCCATAGTCAATCCCCACACTGTTGTCCATGTCCATAGGTCATTCATGCATGTTCTTTGACTAGTCCCTTCTCCTTCTTTCCACCATTATCCCCTCTCCCTTCCCCTTTGGCAGCTGTCAGTCTGTTTCATGTTTCCATACCTCTGGTTTTATTTTGCTCATTAGTTTATTTTGTTCATTAGATTCCTCTTATAAGTGAGATCATATGGTATTTGCCTTTCACCTCTTGGTTTATTTCACTTAGCATGATATTCTCCAGTTCCATCCATGCCATCACAAAAGGTAGGAGCTCCTCCTTTCTTTTTGCTGTGTAGTATTCTATTGTGTAAATGTATAACCATTTTTTGATCCACTCTTCAACTGATGGACACTTAGGCTATTTCCAGCACTCAGCTATTGTAAGTAGTTCTGCTATGAACATAGGGGTACATAGGTTCTTCTGAATTGGTGTTTTGGGATGCTGAGGGTATAATCATAGCAGTGAAATCACTGGGTCAAAAGGCAGATTCATTTTTAATTTTTTGAGGAAATTACATACTGTTTTCCACAGTGGCTGCACCAGTCTGCATTCCCACCAACAGTGCACTAAGTTTTCCTTTTCTCCACAGCCTGGCCAGCATTTGTTTGTTGATTTATTAATGATAGCCATTCTGACAGGTATGAAGTGGTATCTCATTGTGTTTTGAATTTGCATTTCTCTGATGGCTAGTGATGTTGAACATCTCTTCATATGTCTATGGGCCCTCTATATGTCCTCCTTGGAGAAGTATCTATTCAGGTCCTTTGCCCATTTTTTAATTGGATTGTTTGTCTTCCTGATGTTGAGTCATATGAGTTCTTTATACATTTCAGAGATTAAACCCTTGTCCCATGTGTCATTGACCTATATGTTCTCCCATACATTCTGTTCTCTTTTCATTTTGATGACAGTTTCTTTAGCAGTGCAGATGCTTTTTTAATTTGATGTAGTCCCATTTGTTTATTTTTTCCTTTATTTCCCTTGCCTTAGGAGATATATTGGCAAAAATATACTAACCTTCCAAAAGAGAAAGCACCCAGTCCCAGATGGTTTTATTGTAAATTCTACCAAACATTTAAGGAGGAATGATACCAATTCTTTACAATCTCCTCCAGAAAATACAATCAGAGGGAAAACTTTCTAATGCACTTTATGAGGCCACAACTACCCCAATACCTAAAGCAGACAAACACATTACAACAAAGGAAAACTACAGACTAAAATATCTCATAAATATAGATGTAAAGTTTTTCAACAAAATATTACCATGTTGAATCCAACAGTGTGTAAAAATAATCAGACACTAAGGCCACATGAGATTTATTCCAATTATGCAAAACTGACTCAATGTTCAAAAGTCAGTGTCATCCATCATATCAACAAACTAAAGGGAAAAAAACCATATTGGTCTTACCAACTGATACAGAAAAGGCATTTGACAAATCCAATATCTATTCATGATAAAAACTCTTAGCAAATAAGCCAGGCAGTAGAAGATAAATACCATATGATCTTACTTATAAGTAGACCATAATCAACAAAACAAATAAGCAAACTAAATAGAACCAATAACATGTAAATAAAGAACAAACTGACAGTAACCAGAGGGGTTGGGGGAGTGGGAGGTAACAGGGAAAAGAAGGAGAAGTGTCATCAAGGAAGATGTATAAAGGACCCATGGACAAAGACAATGGCGGTGGGGAGGGTAGGATTGCAGGTGGGTGGTGGGGATGTGTAGGGCAGAAGAGAGTAATGGGGCAAAATGAGGACAACTATAACCGAACAAAAATTTCAAAAACTCTTAGCAAACAAGGAATAGAGGGAATTTCCTCAACTTGATAAAGAACCACTACAAATAACCTACAGCTAACATCATACAAAAAGATGAGAAACTGAACACTTTTTCCCTAAAATGGTAAACAAGAGAAGGATATCCTCTCTCACTACACCTATTCCACATTGTGCTGGAAGTACTAGCCAGTATGATAAGACAAAAATGGCTTATTAATGTATGATTAGAAAAGAAGAAATAAAAC